ACCTTTCTTACTGTACTCATACACACACACTCACACCCACACACACAAACGTCACGCTTATCTCATAGTACGCTTTTCCTACTGTAATCATGCACACACTAACATATGCATGAGCACAAATACACACACACACACACTTCGAGCTTCTTTCATAGTACAGTACTTTTGCTACTGCAATCATTCACACACACTACGCACACATGCATGCACAGACACACCCACTTCATGCTTTTGTCATTTTTAATACTTTTGCTACTGTAATCATTCTCTCTCTCTCTCTCTCACACACACACACACACACACACACACACACACACACACACACATGCTCGAACACATAAACTTCATGCTTTTCCTACTGTAATCATTCACACACGCTTACACATACACACACGTACCCCCCCCACCCCCTTTGCAGGCCTTTCACTCTGACTCTCCCGCTTGAGTTGTTCTGCATTGATCTTTGTTTTGCTGCAGTGAGACTGGAAGCTGATGGTTTGATTAATGACTGTTCGGCCGCTAAAAACAAGTTTATTCCAGGAGATGAGACTCCGCTGTAAACATCTCTCCCATTCACTCTCACACCGACTGACACAGAAATATGGCTGTGTGTAAATTCATGCTGAACCCAGACGCCACATGTCTAATGCATTTTTTCCATTTTCTTGGGCTTGACGTCCTGCAGCTTTATGGTAAAGCCTCATAGTGAGGGAGATTTCTTCACTTGGGTGTTGATCTACTTGCACATGCAGAGTAGGTTTTACGACACGTTCATGTTTAAGTTTTGCTTTATGTATATGTATAGACACATATATACATACACATATACACATATACATACATATACACATATACATATATACATATACATATATACTAGGGATGTAACAATATCAGAATTTTATGGGACGATAATACGGTATTTATTGAATAATTTACAGGAAAAACAAAACTAATGAAAAGACTCGAAAAAAAGTGCCAAAAGTGTTTATTTACCTTAGCACTGAACATATTAATGACATACAAATTAGCCATCTATCTGTAAGTTTCGAAACAGGAACTTCAATTTTTCAATTTTAATAACAAAAAACTATTAAACCATATAAAAAAATAGTTTCAATTTAGTATTGTTGAAAACTCATCACGTTCAACATTTAATCACTCCAGTGGCATAGCGGACGGGCCCGCTCGTCGTGATTTTTAATAATTGAAAATCCAGGAACCGCAATAATCAAACTCTTGGGAACAACTGTGGTCGGAACCAAAGTTTACAGGTCTGTGCCCATGCGATAAGTGATCCATCAATGTAGAAAAGTGGTCAAATAAAAATTTTCATAATTAAAAAAAAATGCATACTAACATCCAGGAAAACTCCCGATCATAGATATATGTGTATATCTATGTGTATATGTGTATATCCACAACCCCCAAACCCCCCCCGCATTTTGCGCTACGCCACTGAATCACTCACTCACTTAGATAGAGATGGGTTATTTAAGGAAAATTATCATATAACTATAATCTGGTAAAAGCTGGGATCTCTGGGTATTTACAATGTCCCTTGCAACAGAAAAAAAACCTCTCATTTGGGACTGAGGTTTCTGGGACAGAGAAATATGTTTTAGCCAAGGTTGACAGCAGTGGGTAACGTTGTGCATTGTCTTTCCACCGCTTGAGAGGACAAGCCATGAGTGAGATAGAGGTCTCTTTGCGGTACAAGTCAATGTCTGCATCAATCTAACAAGTGTGCTGTGTTCTGCAGTCCCCATGACTGTTTTTAGTCGTATTCCCCGACTTATATTTCACCACAGTCTGGCAGTGCCTGCATACTGATTTTTTTTTTGTTGTCTGTCACCTTTTCTCCTTTTTCGTATCTTTTTAGAAAGAAACCGAAATGCTTCCACACATCCGATTTAAAACCCGCTTTAGGTTCGATCATTTCCAGCTCTTTTTCTTCCCCGCTACTAGCAGCACACTCCATTTCCGCATTACTGGATCTGTAGTGACAACAGACCGCAAAGGATGATGGCCACGCCTAGGCTGATGGGAATTGTAGTTCTGCTATACCTCCCGTTCGCTTCATTCGCCTAAGCAAACTTTCCTCAGAAATATAGTTTTATTGAGTCATCCGCCTACGGTAATATTGAAAAAAATTACTATTGCAGTATGACGGTATTTACAATATTGTTACATCCCTAATATATACACAAACACATATATACATATACACATACACATATACATTTACATATACATATAATCATACACATACACATATACACACATACATATATACATATACATATATACATATACATATATACACATACACATATATACAAATACACATATACATTTACATATACATATATACACATACACATATATACAAATACACATATACATTTGCATATACATATAATCATACACATACACATATACACACATACATATACATATACATATATACACATACACATATATACAAATACACATATACATTTACATATACATATATACATATACATATACATATACACACATATATACATATACATATATACACACATATATATATATATACACAAATATATAAATATAGACATACACATATACATTTACATATACATATATATATATATAAACATACATACACACACAAACATACATATATACACATACACATATACATATACATATATACACACAATTTCCCTGTGTTCGTGTGGGTTTTCTCCGGGTGCTCCGGTTTCCCCCACAAGTCCTACAATATACAGTTTAGGTAAACTGGGTAAGCTAAAACTGGCTGTTGTGTATGTTTGTGAATGAGTGTGTATGAATGTTTCCCAGTGATGGGTTGCAGCTGGAAGGGCATCCGCTGTGTAAAACACATGCTGGATAAGTTGACGGTTCATTCTGCTGTGGTGACCCCAGAGTAATAAAGGGACTATACCGAAAAGAAAATGAATGAATATATATATATATATACATATATTAATATCTTTCTGTCTCCACAGAAAGAGATTCAAGCCATGAGCCAGTGTAGCCATCCAAACGTGGTCACCTACTACACTTCATTCGTTGTCAAGGATGAGCTCTGGCTGGTCATGAAGCTCCTGAGTGGAGGTAAGAGAAATCTCCTGTGTTAACTCTGGGCATTTTGTCTGTGAATAAGATTTGTTGATTTCTTTGTTGTTTATTTTGTCCAGGATCAGTGTTAGACATCATAAAGCACACGTTCAACAAAGGAGAGCATAGAAACGGCGTTCTAGATGAATCCACGATAGCAAGCATTTTGAAGGAAGTACTGGAGGGGTTAGATTATCTACACAAAAACGGGCAGATTCACAGGTAAGCACATTTTCCTCTGTAGAATCTGTGGTCGGTCACACAATAGTTACTTTAATTGTTTTCAGTTTAGCAGCATCAAAGCTTAAATAATATTATTTATTATTTACTAACCTCCCAGTGGTTTCAAACCTTTATGAATTTCCTTATTCTGTTGAACACAAAAGAAGATAGTTTAAATAATGTTAGAAACTGGTAGTTATTGGCTGTTTCTCAATATGCGTTCTTCAGCAGACTTGCGTCCTCGTGTTCTCGTGCAACGTCATCATCAGCTGCCTGAGTTCAGTTCCAATAGTCAAGACCGCAAGTACAGAGGATGCTTGAAACTTTCCGCATGTGATCTAGATATCGAGGACGCACCGATGCAGACTTGAGCACAGAACTCGCTCTGGACGTCCCTGAAGTCATTGCGACTGGGGGTGGGAAGCGCAGCATTTTATATAGATTTATTATTAAAGTTCAGAGATTTAATTTATTTACCTCGGGAGTTTCCCTAAATGAAACGGTGAAAGTAAACATTACCATGGACATCTTAATAAAGGAATAAACACATTAAGGATGTTTGTTTGCTGAAATTCGTATTAAAATCTGTTTTATTTACATTGTGCTGAGTATATTTATAATGTTTTTATGCAAAGTATATATTTTAAAAAAGGGGAAAACAATAAATCGTTGTATAAATGCTGTAATGTTTAAATAATTTATCATTTAAAATGCGTGAAGGTCACGTGACCATCAGGAAGAACGCAGCATCTCATTTCTCAAAGGATGCGTTCTCTGCCCTCGCGGTCTCCTAAATTCGTTCTTCCGAGGACACCTGGCACGACTGGTCTCCACAAGAACACAAGTTCGTTCTCTGCGTTCTTGGAATTGAGATACAGCCATTGAATTTCATAGCAGGGAAAACAAACACTATAGAAGTGAATGGTTACCGATTTGCAACATTTAAAAAAAAAACTTCCTTTGTGTTCAACCGAAAAGAGAAAGTCAAACAGGTTTGTAACAAATAAAGAGCAAGTAAGGGATGACAAAATTTTCAGTTTTGGGTGAACTGTTCCTTTAAATACCAGGGGCCTCATGTACAAAGACTTGCGTTGAATTAATACTAAAACACTGCATATGGATAAAGCTGTAAATGTGCGTACGCAGTAAAAAAATGTATATGTAGGAAACTGCGTACGCGGAACCCCACGCATATTCTCTTTGTACATCCGAATTAATGTGAAACTGAGCGCACGTGCACATGCACGAGCGCAAAACCCCTCCCTGCCTCCTCCCTTGTATGAATATGGTAATGACTCCACTTTGGCAAAACCAAACGAAAAAGTAATGGCAAAATCAAGCAAGAAGAGAAACTTTACAGAATGTGAATTGGAGGTGCTCCTATCAGAGGTAGACCGGAGAAAACTGTGTTATTTGCAAGTTTGTCCTCCGTAATTAATAACAAAACAAAAAAAAAGAGTGGGAGAGTTTAGCTGACGCGGTTAATGCAGTGGCGTCTGAACATCGCACTGTGAACGAATAAAAAAAAAAAAAGGTCTGACGTAAAAGTGCCGGTTAAGAGGAGAACAACAGGGCAGCATCAAAGTGTGGACCAAACAGGCGGAGGAACAGGGGATGCTGAACTAACAACCTTTGAGGAGAGAGTTGCCTCAATTGTGGGCGACACTTTACTGTCTGGAGTAGTATCCGTGTCTGTGGGAAACACAGATGTATTAGAGGACCATTTTGTTAGGGCGGTATAGCAGCGCCCCTCCGCTCTTATCAAGGCAGAGCCACCGGCATTTCAGCTGCCCAATCGCCCGCTCTACAACTGACCGAGTGCCTGCCACCTTGCAGCCTCATCCCAACCTGTTGCTGTTTGTAAGGATGAATTAATCATCTGTTGAACAAGGCCACCTTGCTACAATATTTGTTAAGCGAATTTGAGCATCACATATTATTTGCCCATTTATTGAATGAAAATGTTTCCGATTCACGTATGCAAATTTGTCTTCAGATGGCGCCTTTATAGCAATGTGCGTGCAGTCGAACGCTCCGATTACATTGGGAAAACTGCGATCGCTGCAAATTGCGCTTTAATGTTTGGCTGGTCCAACTGCATAGTATGGAAACCTTATATATCTGCTATACATGCTGATGATCCAGTCTCATACAGCTGCCACTGCTCGGCTCAAAAATACTTTGTAGTGTGCAGTTTAACACAATTACCTCTAGGACTCGCCAATCGAAATGAAACAAACACACACAAGAAATGCATGTACGCATGATGTTGGCATGGACCAACGCACATTCTCACGTTCATTTCATCATAAGTAAATCCAAACGAGAGTGTGAAATCTGGTGTACGCAGCGTTGATACGTGAGCTCCCAGGTTATTTAGGTTTTCGAGAAAATTGTCCGCAAGATTGCTTATCAAAAAGTACATGATGAATGAAGATCATTTACTTGATCATTAACCAGTTTGACTTTCTTTTTTCTGTTGAGCAAAAACGAAGATATTTTGAAAAATGCAGCAAATTGGTAACCATTTGCTTCCATAGTATTTATTTTCCATGCTATGAACGTCAATGGTTACACGTTTTTGGCTTTCTTCAAAATATCTGCTTTTGTGTTCAGTGGAAGAAAGAAGTTAATAGCAAGTAAATGGTGAGCAAATAGTCATTACATTTTCATTTTTGGGTGAACTATCTTTTAAGATGCAAGTATATTGTTATTGTAGAATAACAGTATTGTAGAATAAAAAAGCAGAGAATTATTGTAGAATAAAAAAAACTAAGAAAGAAACTAATAAAGGTTTTGATGGTGAGCAAATACTGAGTCAGTTTTCATTTTGCATTTACCATATGACCTGCTTTTTAAATATTTGTTCAGCTCTTTACATTTAGAAACAGCTTTATTGTGCACTACATGATAAATAATATGTGCAAATAAATAACATGCATTTTTGACATTAAATGGGCAACTCTTGAGTGGATAAACTTCTTTCTGATATGCAAATTCAGAGAAAAGAACAACATATTTGGATCTTAAGATGCTTTTAAGCCTGCTGTAAGTCTTTGTAACATAATATTAGGATCCTTTAAACTTTATATTGTGACCTATATTGTGCACTACATGAAAAATAATATATTAAAATAAAAACCGTGCATTTTTTTCACATTTAATGGGAAACTCTTAAGTGGTTAAACTTCTTTCTGATAGTCAGTGGTCTGCTTTTGTGAGACTAGTGTAACATATGCTTTAATTAAGTTCCTCTGCATGTTAAGTGCTGGGAAATGCTAATGAGGTCTTTTCCCTCGGGGCAGTCGCTGCTGTAATAATGGTCTGAAAAATTCATAAACGCCTGGATTTATTCTTCAGCCGTTGGCGTTATTGTATAGTTTAAGATGGTAATAAAGCATGACATGGTTGTGCTTTGTTTTGGTTTGACCTTAGGGACGTGAAGGCTGGTAATATTCTTCTGGGAGAAGATGGATCGGTGCAGATCGCAGGTTAGTGACTTTGCTTGATTTTATCTGAGATGTACAGTTGAAGTTAAATTATTAGCCGCCTTTCGATTTTTTTTTTTCCTTCTTCTTTTTTTAATATTTCCCAAATGATGTTTAACAAAGCAAGGAAATTTTCACAGTATGTCTGATAATATTTATTATTAAAAAAAATCTTATTTGATTTATTTTGGCTAGAATAAAAGCATTTTTTAAAAACACAATTTAGGTACAATTATCAGACCCCTTTAAGCTATTTTTTCCTCGATAGTCTACGGAACAAACCATCGTTATACAATAACTTGCCTGATTACACTAACCTGCCTAGTTAACCTAATTAACCTAGTAAAGCCTTTAAATCTGACTTTAAGCTGTGTAGAACTTTCTTGAAAAATGTCTAGTCAAATGTTATTTACTGTCACCATGTCAAAGATAAAATAAATCAGTTATTAGAGATGAGTTATTAAAACTATTATGATTAGAAATGTGCTGAAAAACATCTTCTCTAAGTTAAACAGAAATTGGGGAAAAAATTAAACGGGGCAAATAATTCAGGGGGGCATATAATTTTGACTTCAACTGTATATATAATGTTATTTAATATTTGAATCATATCAGCTTTCACCTGAACTTTTTTTTTTTTTTTTTTTTTGATGGGGCACTTCAATGCTAGATTGACAGCATTTGATTCAGATCTTGCAAATGAATGCTTCATCCTATTTCACATGCAAAGTCGAGCATTTACATAAACGTCTTCATGAAACCACCAAAAATACTAACACTTTTTTAAAAATAGAGATAACAGATAAAGCTAAATGTTCATGAAATGTTTGTTGTTGTTTTGCCATAAATCTTTAGTAGTTTTTTTAAATAAATCTAGATCACATTTAGTTGTTTCATTTTTTTGTTAATTATAACAAAAAAGCATCAATTTATTCTACATTATTATAATATAATATAATAATAAATAATTCATTCATTTTCTTTTCGGCTTAGTCTCTTTATTAATCTGGGGTCGCCACAGTGGAATAAACTGTCAACTTATCCAGCACATGTTTTACGCAGCGGATGCCCTTCCAGCTGCAACCCATCACTGGGAAACACCCATACACACTCACATTCACACACATACACTATGGACAATTTAGCCTACCCAGTTCACCTATAGTGCATGTCTTTGGACTCTGAGAAAACCGGAGTGACCTTCTTGCTGTGAGACGATTGTGCTACCCACTGCGCCACCGTGCAGCCATATAATAAAAATAATATTATATATGGATAGACACATAGAGAGAGGGATGAATGGATGGACGGTTAGATAGATACACAGATAGATGAATGGATGGATGGAAGGATGGATGGATAGACGGACGGATGGATGGATGAACAGATAGATGAATGGATGGATGAATAGACACAGACAGATGGATGAATAAATGATAGATGAGTAGACAGAAAGATAGCTGGATGGATGAATATACACAGACAGATGGATGAATGGATGATTAGACAGACAGATAGATGGATGGATGAATTTATGAATTTATAGATAGATAGATAGATAGATAGATAGATAGATAGATAGATAGACAGATAGATAGATAGATAGATATATAGATAGATAGACGAGTAGATGGATGGATAGATACATGGGTGGATGGATGGATGGATGGATGGATGGATGGATGGATGGATGGATGGATGGATGGATGGATGGTTAGACAGATAGACGGATGGATGGATGAACTGATGGATAGATGCATGATGATAGTTGGGTAGACAGAATAATGGATAGATAGACGAATGGATGGACGGAGGAACAGACAGATGGATAGATGGATGGATAGACAGATGGATGGTTAGTTAGATAAACAGATAGACGGATGGATGGATGGAAGGACAGATTGATAGATGGATAAACGGATGGATGGATGGATAGATGCATAGACAGTTGGATGAATTGATGGTTAGATAGATAACGGACGGTTGGATAAAGATGTATGACTCAATACACATGTATAATTTGTGTTTCTCTTACGTGATTTTGACCTGTGAATTTTGAATATTCAGTGTTTTTATTATTTCTGCGCTTATAAAATGCCGTATTCATCACCCTGAGGTAATAAATCTTTCTTTAGCCATTCAAATCCTGCTTTAATTAATATTGTGGTTGTCACTCTGAAAAGCAGCATTTATGGGTCTTAAGAGAGATTATTTTACTTTTCAAATTGTGGTAATTAGCTTTAATTACACTAACTGTAAAAGCAATAACCCAGGAGTGATTTAATCAGTCAGTCAAGCCACTTTACATTTTTTTAATTTTCTTTCAGCGAAGTTAATTATGGTGCACCATAATATATTCTCCACATTTATTCTCTGTTACGTTTTGCTTTATGAATTTTTGAGCCGGAGCCAGAAAAACAGACGGCTCGAAAAAACCCATTGATTATCATGTGGAGAAGTGTTAAATTCCCGAAATGGGGCTTTTTCCGGCCCTCAGGGGGGAAACTGGCTGATCTAGTTCTGGATTATTGATCGGTTTTATGTAACGGGTTTTTCACCAATGACCTTGACTCGACTTTGTTAGAGATTTCTCTATTGATGTGTGTGACAGACCAATTTATAAAAGGGTTTCACGCATGCATACACACACACACTTAGACTGCACAATATATCGTTTTGCCATCAATATCCAGGGTGCGAATTGTACATTGACAATCACTGGGTCACATTTTTCAATCATGTTAGTTTGTGTAATAAGCTTCAGTAAACCAAAATTATATATTTAATTCAATTACATCTAATTTATCAATTTTTAGTCGGATATTGAGTGGTTCTGGGCGATATACAGCAAAAGAAATTGCCACGATATAATGTTTCATATCATTGGGTATCGATAATTATTGAATTCTTTTTAAAATCCATTTAGGAATATTAGGATTTTACATTTATTTAACCACTTCATTTTAATTTACCAACACTACTAAGGCCAATAGTTTTAATAGTCAAAAACAAAAATAACACTGTCAAAATATCTCTTATAAATATTATATTATAATAAGATAAACATACGTATTAAAGAGACTCTTAAACTTGATAAATACAATGTTACAAAGTCATACCTGTCAACATTGGGATGTGAAAATAAGTGATATGCCCACCATAATAAGGGATTCCCCCGACCCCCCTTTATAAAATCCCCAAATTACTAAACATGCTCATTTGGAGCTGTTTCATTGTAAATAAACAGTTAAATGGTCCGTAATATGTTTTATTATTATTTAAAAAAATTAAATAAAATAATATACATTAGCAGCAATTACATTAACAAACATTCATTCATTCATTCATTTTCTTGTCGGCTTAGTCCCTTTATTAATCTGGGGTCGCCACAGCGGAATGAACCGCCAACTTATCCAGCAAGTTTTTACGCAGCAGGTGCCCTTCCAGCCGCAACCCATGTCTGGGAAACATCCACACACACATTCACACACACCACACACACACTCATACACTACGGACAATTTAACATACCCAATTCACCTGTACCGCATGTCTTTGGACTTTGGGGGAAACCAAAACACCCGGAGGAAGGCAGGGAGAACATGCAAACTCCACACAGAAACGCCAGCTGAGCTGAGGTTTGAACCAGCAACCCAGAGACCTTCTTGCTGTGAGGCAACAGCACTACCTACTGCGCCACTGCCTCACCACATTAGCAAGCAGTTCAGCTTATTAAAATTAATAGCTATTGTAATGAAATAGAATCAAGCTATCAAATCTTATTAGGCATTTCTGACAAATTCTGAATAAAGAGCATGATTTATTTAGATTTTTTTCATTTGATTACATTAAATAACAAGTGTGACTTTAAAAATGCACACATCTAAAGTTATAAAATCTATTTTATGTATGAGTGCAACGTGATGTGTGTTTGTCAGTCACAGTGTCTTTGCTCAGTTCTACACTGTGACACTTATCCCAACCCAAATCGACCCCACAAACAAAAAATAAGATAAAATATGTTATTAAACAAATTATGTATAAATAAAAAAATCCATCAACAAAGAAGGTAAGGTCTATCAGTCCCCTAATGGAGTAATTTTTCCCCAAAATGTTTCCGTTACTTTAATATTATAAATAATATGCAGTAAGTAATATTTATGCTTATTAATACATTTTCATCATAATTTTCTTGCACTTTTGCTGAAAAATGTGCTTAATTGAATACAGTAGCAACGTCATTATAAGTTTTAAATCACTGTGAGGGTTTTTATAACTTAAATTTGATTCTTACAATTCTGTAACTTGTAAATCACTGTTTATACATTTACTTGGCTTTTGCACAGATTTTGGCGTGAGTGCTTTTTTATCCACCGGTGGAGACGTCACAAGACACAAAGTGAGGAAGACGTTTGTTGGGACCCCGTGCTGGATGGCCCCAGAAGTAATGGAGCAGGTCAGTTTGTGCGGAAAACCAATCTTTTCCAGAAAACAACAATTTTTAAGCAGCAATGCAAAAAACACTTTTCTTTGAATGCATCCAACAAAACTCAAGTACATGTGCACAAACACAGGAGCATCTATAGCAAATAAACAAATGTAAATATTTAATTCAATTCACCTTTATTTCTATAGCGCTTTTACAGTGTAGATTGTGTCAAAGCAGCTTCACCTAGAATATTATAGTGAATTGAAACAGTGTCAGTCCAGTTTTCAAAATTTAAGTTCAGTTCAGTTTAGCTCAGTTCAGTGTGGTTTAATAGTCACTACTGAGAGTCCAAACACTGAATAGCAAATCCATCGATGCGCAGCTCTACAGGCCTCTGTCCAAACGTCTTGTGCAGAGCTGCAGTAAAGGTGCTGGAGAACGCTGGACGTCAGCAAAGACTCATCTGTCCCTGGAGCGTAACAGTAATCAGTCACATGCTCTCCACTCTTCCATGACCACCACAGCAGCTGCTCAGGATACGGTCTGGTCCAGGAATATGGGAAACTTGGGCTCATCTTGTTGCTTGTCTTGGAATGCATCAGTGGCGCTACATAGTTTGAGGGCCTCGGGATGAGTATCTCCTGGTGAAAATAGAGAATAAAGAGAATAATTGGCGTAGCTGCCGTTCAAAGTGTATATAAACGAGATGCAGACACCAACGTGGAGCATATTTATGCATCATACCGGTACGTGATGCATTGAGTGTATGCTTTACTAAACAGATAGGTCTTTAATCTAGTTTTGAACGGTGAGAGTGTGTCTGAGCCTCGGACATCATCAGGAAGGCTATTCCAGAGTTTGGGAGCCATAAATGATAAGCCTCGACCTCCTTTACTCGACTTTGCTGTTTTAGGTACTAACAGGAGCCCTGAGTTTAGAGATCTTAAAGAGCGGGTTGGATTGTAGCAAGACAGACAGTTGGTTAGATAAACAGGAGCTAGGTTATTTAAAGCTTTATAGGTAAGAAGCAACATTTTAAATTCAATACGAAACTTAACAGGCAGCCAGTGCAAGGAGGATAAAGTTGGGTTAATATGATCATTTTTTCTGGACCTGGTAAGAACTTTGGTATAATAAATGTTATCCCGCTTGCTTTCTGATGGTTGTCGAGTGAGTTGTTAAACGCCTATGACTGGTCATGCGCTCAACAGACTGGGCTGCAATTGGCTCTAACGTGCTGGCGCTGTTCACCGATGGACTGGCAGCTTGACATAGAAGTTCTAGTAAACTGTCAGTCCAGTTTTCAGAGTTGAAGTTCAGTTCATTGTGGTTTAATTTTCACGGTGACTGCCGTCTAAACCAAAACAAACGGACGGCAGCTCCTTACGTAGACTGCCGTCAAACTGAAAGCAAAAGTAAAACAATATGCACGGGCCCGGTCCTCTTTCGTCTTCCTCTGCCATCGTTCCTCCTTTTATAGTCCAGAGCTCCTTCCGTGGGATTCGAGGCCGGTGCGCACTGCAAGTGCATCCACTTACGCGGCGGCCTCATTCCGGGTGTTTTAAGTTATAACTAACATAGTTCAAATGATGGATCTGCAACAGAGAAACTACGGGTTTTGGGAAACACTCATCACTACACCGTTCTTTTCCTAAACGATGCATCATACTATGATAGTTTAGCCGCGAGTTACGTCGTTGTTTGGGAAACGCACCCCTGAACAGTTGTAATGCTTACTATGATATATAATAAGCCTATGTTAAAAATAAAAAATAGTTATATAATATAATATAATATAATATATATAATATATATATATATATATATAAAATCACATTTGCATATTTAAAATGTCAGTTTCTTGCTAAAAATAAATATTTTCTAATATTGATTGCGAACATTGAAGAGTAGAATTAAAATGGACTATTTCATCCAATATATATGTGTGCTATTTATTTTTTATGCATGTTACATCATGATGCTCAATCTCTGGATCAATGGAAACAGAGATGCTGTCCAAGAAGCAAATGCTTACTGTGTTTTTTTTGTCACAGAGCCAAAGTGTTTTTTATCGTCTGCTGTAAATTTGATGCATCTAGGAACTATGAAAATGTTTACTATATTATTCCGAAGGGCTTTTTCCAATACTATTAATTATTATAACCATTAGACTATTTTGACTGTTTAATCATTCATTTCTGCCGTTGTTTGTTTTTGATAAAGTGTCATATTCATCTAAAAGTCAGTTCACATGTCATGTGACCACAGGTACGAGGTTATGACTTCAAAGCTGACATTTGGAGTTTTGGAATCACTGCCATTGAACTCGCAACAGGCTCTGCGCCGTACCATCGATATCCTCCTATGAAGGTAAACAGATGTATAAAAAAATTCTGTGTAAAAGTTTTCCCATCTGTATTTATAGTAGTTACAGAGGTTAAAAATGAAAAATCATTTGCTGTAATTGTCAGATAAATACAAAAGAGTTTTCTGTAATTAGCATCTATCACTATTAAATCAAACTAAAAATAATATCGGATTTATATTGTGATTAAAAATAATTCATTTAATACTTCAGTCAAGTTTTAATTCAAGTAAAAATTCAGTTTTTAGGAACAACAAATATTAATTTGACTTCTAGTTGATCATTTGGCATAAGAAGTGGCTTATATGAAAGGCAAAGTCCTCTAGATCAGGGGTTTTCAAACTTTTTCAGCTGAGGGCCCCTTTGTGTAAGGCGAATTCTTTTGGGGACCCCCCAAAAATAAAAATGACGCCACCCCCTCAAATTAACAACTGTACTTAATTTTTTTTTATTGTATTATTCAATACATTTATATTATTATAAATTATTCAATAAATTTATATTATTCATTATCTGGATTAATTTTTGTAAGATGTTAGTTGAGTTGACATGGTTTTAGTGCTTCAATCTATTGATCAAATCTTGATGCACAGTACTCATTGTGGTCTGCTCTCACTGGATTATTCCATCAAGCCATATTTTGTGTACAAGTCGTCACTTTACACAGTTTTTATGCCATTTTTATGCTTTTTTTCAGCCTATGCACAGCTAGACTCTTCTGTATTTACCCTTACAGCTGAGAGTCTAAATGTATCTAAAGATTTAAAGTTTTAAAGAGTTTTGTCATTCATCAGCCTGTTAACAGTTAACTGTACTGTTGTAACTAGCAATACTACAATGGAGGCTGTGTGTTTTGTTTATTTTTATTACTTTTTTTTGTGCACATCATAATTCATCATAATTCATAATTCAGTTCGACAATCTTGACTTACACTGATAAAAAAATTATTTTCTAAATGCAATCTAGAATTGGGTATTCAAGTTCAAAGAGCCACAAGTTTTACTTTGCATAATTTTAGAAGCTTTGCTGACTTTAAAATGTTCATACCAGTTTGTTCTATTAATAATAATACTGAACATTACATTTAAATTAGTTACACAAACAAATATGGGAAAAAGTGGAACAAAAATGCATTTATATTCAGAGTATTAAAATTTGATCATATGTTGAGCTCCATTAAATACAGAGCACTAATACATTTTAATATTTAATAATTATTAGCCCTATAACATAACACAAATAGATAAATTATAATTTTTAAAGGCTATAGTGGTTTTACTCAGTGTGTATACAATTTAGTTTTTTTAATCATCCAGTTATTAACCAATGTGTGTAAGAGGTCCTCTGCAGAGCTCATCCAGCTGTCATTAGTGTAACAGGAGTGAAACTCTGAGAATTCCCTATGGACAAAATAAAACTCCAATATATTTACTCATTTCTTTTACATTCTATACATGTCAAAATCAGCCTGATCTGACGAGGAAATAACTATTTACTGGCTAATTTGTACAAATTCATAGTTGTATAAAAATGTAAGATTTTTAAATTCAAGTTTCATAAACTAATTTCGAGAGGAGCACGTGATATTATTGAGCACTGCTGGCCACTCATCTGTAATCAGTAATAATCCAATCAGAGTGATCCTAGCTTACTATAAATGTATTATTTTCTCCTTATTGCTCTATCTTCCCTGCTGAAAAATCCAGCTTAAACCAGCAAACCAGCCTAGGCTGGTTGGCTGGTTGTAGCTGGTCTACCAGGCTGGTTTTAGAGGGGTTTTGGCCACTTCCAGGCTGGTTTTCAGCCATTTCCAGCCTGGTCTTAGCTGGTCAGGCTGGAACATGACCAGCCAAATCCAGCTAAAACCAGCCTGACAAGCCTGGTTTAAGCTGGACATAGCTGGTTTTGGCTGGACTCCCAGCTTGGCTAGGCTAAGACCAGGCTGGAAATGGCTGGAAACCAGCCTGGAAGTGGCCAAAACCCCTCTAAAACCAGCCTGGTCGACCAGCTAAAACCAGCCAACCAGCCTAGGCTGGTTTAAGCTGGATTTTTCAGCAGGGTTCGTTTTGGAAGAATCCCCCCTACACCCCATTTCCTCCTTTTCCTCTTTTTTTTTAAAGGGGGAGCCATCAAGACCTACCTAATTTCGGATCCCCTGATATTATTGACCGGACAGGAGCCCTGGGCTCAAATATCTCCAAACTCAGGGTTCTCTCCTGAGACAGCATGACAAACCTACTATAAATGCTAAGCATATCTAGTGGGAACTCTTGAAAGAAGGTGTGTCAACAAACCCCACCCCTAAACTCAACAGTCATTGGGAGATTTGCATATCCTGCTAAAATGTATGAATGAGATCATACATA